CCTGTGGCGCAACGGATAACGCGTCTGACTACGGATCAGAAGATTCCAGGTTCGAATCCTGGCAGGATCGTTTCATTTTGTCGCTTAAGCGTTCAAAAAACATGTGCTAATATGATATTTACCTCCGAAATATTCAACAGCATGTATGTTGGTCCTGTGGCGCAACGGATTAACGCGTCTGACTACGGATCAGAAGATTCCAGGTTTCGAATCCTGGCAGGATCGTTTCATTTGTCGCTTAAGCGTTCAAAACATGTGCTAATATGATATTTACCTCCGAAATATTCAACAGCATGTATGTGTGGTCTGTGGCGCAACGGATAACGCGTCTGACTACGGATCAGAAGATTCAGGTTCGAATCCTGGCAGGATCGTTTCTTTGTCGCTTAAGCGTTCAAAACATGTGCTAATATGATATTTACCTCCGAAATATTCAACAGCATGTATGTGTGGTCCGACTAACGGATCGAAGATTCCAGGTTCGAATCCTGGCAGGATCGTTTCATTTGTCGCTTAAGCGTTCAAAACATGTGCTAATATGATATTTACCTCCGAAATATTCAACAGCATGTATGTGTGGTCCTGTGGCGCAACGGATAACGCGTCTGACTACGGATCAGAAGATTCCAGGTCGAATCCTGGCAGGATCGTTTCATTTTGTCTAATATGATATTTACCTCCGAAATATTCAACAGCATGTATGTGTGGTCCTGTGGCGCAACGGATAACGCGTCTGACTACGGATCAGAAGATTCCAGGTTCGAATCCTGGCAGGATCGTTTCATTTTGTCGCTTAAGCGTTCAAAACATATGCTAATATGATATTTACCTCCGAAATATTCAACAGCATGTATGTGTGGTCCTGTGGCGCAACGGATAACGCGTCTGACTACGGATCAGAAGATTCCAGGTTCGAATCCTGGCAGGATCGTTTCATTTTGTCGCTTAAGCGTTCAAAACATGTGCTAATATGATATTTACCTCCGAAATATTCAACAGCATGTATGTGTGGTCCTGTGGCGCAACGGATAACGCGTCTGACTACGGATCAGAAGATTCCAGGTTCGAATCCTGGCAGGATCGTTTCATTTTGTCGCTTAAGCGTTCAAAACATATGCTAATATGATATTTACCTCCGAAATATTCAACAGCTTGTATGTGTGGTCCTGACGGATAACGCGGATTCAGAAATTCCAGGTTCGAATCCTGGCAGGATCGTTTCATTTTGTCGCTTAAGCGTTCAAAACATGTGCTAATATGATATTTACCCCCGAAATATTCAACAACATGTATGTGTGGTCTGTGGCGCAACGGATAACGCCTCTGACTACGGATCAGAAGATTCCAGGTTCGAATCCTGGAGGATCGTTTCATTTTGTCTAATATGATATTTACCTCCGAAATATTCAACAGCATGTATGTGTGGTCCTGTGGCGCAACGGATAACGCGTCTGACTACGGATCAGAAGATTCCAGGTTCGAATCCTGGCAGGATCGTTTCATTTGTCGCTTAAGCGTTCAAAACATGTGCTAATATGATATTTACCTCCGAAATATTCAACAGCATGTATGTGTGGTCCTGTGGCGCAATGGATAACGTCTCTGACTACGGATCAGAAGATTCCAGGTTCGAATCCTGGCAGGGTCGTTTCATTTTGTCGCTTAAGCGTTCAAAACATGTGCTAATATGATATTTACCTCCGAAATATTCAACAGCATGCATGTGTGGTCTTGTGACGCGTCTGACTACGGATCAGAAGATTCCAGGTTCGAATCCTGGCAGGATCGTTTCATTTTGTCGCTTAAGCGTTCAAAACATGTGCTAATATGATATTTACCTCCGAAATATTCAACAGCATGTATGTGTGGTCCTGTGTCGCAACGGATAAAGCGTCTGACTACGGATCAGAAGATTCCAGGTTCGAATCCTGGCAGGGTCGTTTCATTTTGTCACTTAAACGTTCAAAACATGTGCTAGTATGATATTTACCTCCGAAATATTCAACAACATGTATGTGTCGTCCTGTGGCGCAACGGATATCGCGTCTGACTACGGATCAGAAGATTCCAGGTTCGAATCCTGGCAGGATCGTTTCATTTTGTCGCTTAAGCGTTCAAAACATGTGCTAATATGATATTTACCTCCGAAATATTCAACAGCATGTATGTGTGGTCCTGTGGCGCAACGGATAACGCGTCTGACTACGGATCAGAAGATTCCAGGTTCGAATCCTGGCAGGATCGTTTCATTTTGTCACTTAAGCGTTCAAAACATGTGCTAATATGAATCGAATGTTTTTTTAATTATTCAAATCGCTTCATCCGTGTTCCCGAAATCGTCGACGAAAATTTGTATCCGAACACACACACACACATCCATTTTTTCTAAGATATGCCAAAATATTCAGAAACCTCTGAAACGTAAAGATATGTAAAAATTTTCATTTTCGATTTTTTGCGATTACTATAACTTGCCCTACGGGAAGTTAATAAATATTTTGCTGCAAATTTAATCTTGAGGCCATAATGAATAAATATTTTAGAACAGCCCACGTTGATTTAATTAGATGTTAAGTGGTTTATAAATATTCTTATGTGTCATAATATTTGAGTTCACGAATTCTATCACAGATGGCGCAAAAGTTTACCTAATGGCTTATGTTAATAACAAATATAAGAAACTTTTAATTGGAGTGCGCTCTATCTAAATGTTAATATTAAGAGCTAAAACTATTAGAGATACATTTTTTATTAATTTGGAAGCATTGGAAAATGTTAATGTTAAGGGCTACCCTAATATTATATATATATATATATATATATATATATATATACATATATATTTAATATAATATAATAGATAAATATAATTTAAATAATATATATATATATATATATATATATATATATATATATATATATATATATATAATATAAATGTGTGTGTGTTTGTGTTTAAGTGTGCAATTGCATGATTTTTGCATTTGTCTGATTTTGCGCAATTTAAATCAAATGTATTAGATTTTAAATATATTTTACAATTCTCTAGGAAATAACAAATCACATTTATTGTATGTCCTGTTTTTAATTAAATTAAAAAATATCAATGAATTAGATTTTTCAGTCAGGCAAATTAATTAAATTGAAAGTTTTTCGTTCTGAGCAGAATTTTCTGTAACATATATGAATCAAATAAAGTAATAACATCCAACATTCGTTATTTGTAGAAAACATCGCACCCGAGAAGCGTACTTATAATGACGTATTAAAAACTTTCTTAAAAATCGATCAAAAACTCATCCGCACATTCTAAGTTGGGCGGTTGTACTGATATAGAGAAATTGCGTTTTCAGCCTCAATTCCTCAATTTCTCACAAAGCTTCGTCTGCTAATTACGTTCTAATGGGAAAACTTTTGACATCCGATATGTTCGATGAGATAATGAACAAGGAACTGTCTGCCATTTATTTTTCACTAACAAGCGCAGACTTGTTTTTATTCTATCCGTATCGTTCTTTACAAAATATTTAAGTTTTCGTATTTATGGGCAACTAAATCGAAGTGGTTCATCAATAATATTTTAGATATGTAGAATGTCCATCCTATACAACCATATCTGGTAGCAGGACAGATAATTAACTTCCCGTAGGGCAAGTTATAGTAATCGCAAAAAAATCGAAAACTAGTGGGGCGCATGGCATCGTGCCTTAAGGCAAATTGCTGGAGCTTCCCGTACCGTAATTAAAAATTCGAGGAATAAAAATAATCAATAATTGTTTCAAATAGTTTCAAATAGATTATTTATTATAAATACATACTGTAAATTTATTTGTGCTTATTGGGCGACGAGCGTATTCTACAAACAACTTATGTGTATGCTTACAAGAAATTTTTAAATTTTTTTTTAAATTTGATTTTTTTGATAATTTTGGAATTTAAAAAAAAATCGTTTTTTTAATTTTTTGACAATTTGGAGATTTTTTTTGTAAATTTCAAAATATTCTCAAATTTTTGTAAAAAATTGTTTTTTTTTTTAATTTTGATGCTTTTCAAATTTTTCGAAATTTAGATATTTTTTTCAAAATGAATGAAAAATTTAAAAAATTTGAGTTTTCTGAAAATGGAATTTTTATTTTGAAAATTTTGATTTTTTTTTTTTGAAAATTTTCAAAACTACGAATTTTTTTTGTAAAACTATTTTCTGCACACCGTCTACACAAGCAACAGGTTTTTTGAATTAATCTAAGCGAATGATCCGTTCTCTCAAAAACTGCATGACAATTTTTACACCCTTTTTGCAAAAACGCATCGCGATCAAGTACTGAATGTTTGCTAAATAATACAAATCGGTTATTCCATACTGTCGAAAATGTCGAGGACATTTGTTTGAACCATATACATAAACTTCAAAATTCAAAATCTTGGTACGGAACCCAAAAGAATTGACACAAAATGTGTACACATTATTAAAATCTCTATAAAATATCTGATAATTTGATGTGCATAAGTCTAGTGAACATTTTTACCGCCAATTACATTTAAAAAAAAAATATTGCGAGTCCATAACCGTTAGACCTGCCTTTCCCAAAATTTTGACAGTTCTTCGTATAATCAATGCAAATAAAATGTTTTTTTGAATTATTCAAATCGGACGCTCCGTTCTCTCGAAAACTATATTACAATTTTTAAATCTTTTTGCACCGTATCTTCAAAACGGCTTGATCTGCATACATCAAAAACTAACCAGCACGTCTCCTTATCAATACGAATCAAATGTTTTTTAAATTATTCAAATCAGTTATTTCATACTGTAGAAAATGTCGAGGACATTTATTTGAACTATATACGTAAAATTTAAATTTAAACATCTTGGTACGAAACCCAAAAAAATACACAAAATGTGTACATATTATTAAAATCTCTATAAAATATCTGATAATTTGATTTGCATATGTCCAATGAACATTTTTGACCGCCAAATGGCATTTTTTATAATAACCGCTAGATCTGCCTTCCCAAAAATTTAATCAGTACTTCATCTTGTCAATACAAGTAAAATGTTTTTGAATTATTAAAACCGGACGCTCCGTTCTCTTAAAAACTGAGTTACTGTTTTTGACACTTTTGCCCCGTATCTTTGGCTCAGCTAGACCTGCCTTTGCCAAAAACTAATCAGCACGTCCCCTTATCAATACGAATCGAATGTTTTTTGAATTATTCAAATC